CAGAGACTGCCCTAAGGAATGCAGAAAGATAGCAGGGCCCCAGAACCTGCAGAGACTCCAGATCTTCAGAGCCAAGATGCCAAACGTCACCTAAGGAAAGCAGAAAGATAGGAAGAAAGAGTGCAGCGAGTGAGACTGTGGGGCCCCCAAGGGCCCCAGAGACTCCAGATCCTCCAGATCCTGCAGAGCAGGGACCCAGGCAGAGACTCCAGATCCTCAGAGCCAAGATGCCAAACGTCAACTAAGGAATGCATAAAGATAGCAGGGACCCAGAACCTGCAGAGACTCCAGATCCTCAGAGCCAAGATGCCAAACGTCACCTAAGGAATGCATAAAGAGCTAGGCCGAAAGAGTCAGAGTGACACGGGGCCCCAGAGACGCCAGATCCTCCAGATCCTGCAGGGCAGGGACCCAGAACCTGCAGAGACCCCAGATCCTTGCAGCAAGTGACACTGTGGACCCCCAAGGGCCCCAGAGACTGCCCGAAGGAATGCATAAAGATAGGAAGAAAGAGTGCAGCAAGTGACACTGGGCCCCAGAGACTCCAGATCCTCCAGATCCTGCAGAGCAGGGACCCAGAACCTGCAGAGACCCCAGATCCTTGCAGCAAGTGACACTGTGGACCCCCAAGGGACCCAGAGACTGCCCTCAGGACTGCAGAAAGATAGCAGGGCCCCAGAACCTGCAGAGACTCCAGATCCTCAGAGCCAAGATGCCAAACGTCACCTAAGGAATGCATAAAGATAGGAAGAAAGAGTGCAGCAAGTGACACTGGGCCCCAGAGACTCCAGATCCTCCAGATCCTGCAGGGCAGGGACCCAGACAGAGACTCCAGATCCTCAGAGCCAAGATGCCAAACGTCACCTAAGGAATGCATAGATAGCAGGGACCCAGAACCTGCAGAGGACTCAGATAATCAAGATGCCAAACGTCACCTAAGGAATGCATAAAGAATAGGAAGAGAAAAGAGGGCAGCAGTGACACTGGGCCCCAGAGACTCAGACCTCCAGATACTGCAAGCAGGGAAACAGAACCTGCAGAGACCACAATCCTTTGAAGAAAGTGACAATGTGACCCCAAGGGCCCCCCAGCGATGCCAAGGAATGCGAAAGGAAGCAGGGACCCAGAACCTGACCGAGGACCTCCAGATCTTCGAGCCAAGAGGGGAAAACAGTGCACCTAAGGAATGCATAAAGATAGGAAGACAGAGTGCAGCAAGTGACACTGTGGACCCCCAAGGGCCCCAGAGACTGCAGAGATCCTCCAGATCCTGCAGAGCAGATCCTGCAGAGCAGGGACCCAGGCAGAGACTCCAGATCCTCAGAGCCAAGATGCCAAACGTCAACTAAGGAATGCATAAAGATAGCAGGGACCCAGAACCTGCAGAGACTCCAGATCCTCAGAGCCAAGATGCCAAACGTCACCTAAGGAATGCATAAAGAGATAGGAAGAAAGAGTGCAGCAAGTGACACTGGGCCCCAGAGACTCCAGATCCTCCAGATCCTGTGGACCCCCAAGGGCCCCAGAGACTGCAGAGAAACATAAAGATCGGGAAGAAAGATTGCAACAAGCAAATTCGCAAAGCCCCGGCTTCTCTGGCGCACTCCCCCCTGCAGGGGTCGGCGGATATACATAATAATATGATATACATTTATATAACATAATATATACATATATATATAATACATATATATATATATACATTATACATACATATTTAGAGAGTGAGAGTTAGTATCAAGTGAGATTTAGCGCTCCATCGCCAGGCGAAGCTTCAGTCTTCACCTACATGAGCTCCATCAACAACCTGGTCTTTGCCCCCTTGCAGTTTGCACAGCCAAGGTTTTTGTTTTCGCAAGGGCAGCCCACAAATTTTGTAACCTTTTCGTATCAACCGCAACACCTATGATGTCAGGAGTTATTATACTGTACACATATCATTATAGTGGCCCTTAAAATGGGAATGCTACTTATTATAATGAGATATACATAAATATCTTATGGGGAATGTGTCAAAAGCTATTATTCCCATAGCTGATGAATAACCATCCACCTGGGTACCGGGCTTTGACCGAGGCTTACAACAATCAGTTTAACGTTCCGCAACTCACTGGAGAGCTGACACCGCAGCCGTCCGTCAGGGGAATGACCAAGGTCTCCATGTTCAGCAGCTCGGCTCTGAATATGGGGGGATACCTCAAGATTGGCCATTGAAGAAACCCAATGATTTTTTGCATCAAGTGGGGGGTGTTACCAGATTCTTCCAAATTCCAACATCATGTGTGGTTTGATATGGTTAAACCGGTTACCTCCAGAGCACCCATTTCAATACCCCTTCGCCGCTCTGGCCATCCCTTTCGTAGATTTGTTCCGTTTTCGAGGCACGGTCATCGCCTTTTGCCTCTATGGCGTGGTGTCGGTGCTGGGAGTGTTGGCCTTTGGCGTGGCGGAGGGGCAGAAGGATTCCCTGATTTTGGACCTGACGCCTGCGCGCAAACAGGTGCATGTCTTGATTTCTCTATTGGCAGCTTCTCGGAGAGCCCAGCGTGGAGTCCAGGATTGAACCAAAGAACCGTAGAATGTCTTGCCTAGAAGGGGGAAAAGTCTTATACGGCTACTGCGGAGGTGCCCAGGGGTACAATTCATGATCTCCTATGTAGCAGCATGGCCCAGCATGGCTGTATTGTGGCTGAGGTGATGTTCAGTGTCCTCACCTGCTTCCAGTTCCACGTCTATCCCGTGCGTCAGTTCCTGGCCTACAACGTGCGAAAACTGCGGGGCCGCAGTGCCAGCGATTGCGAGAAGACCGATGTCTCCTGCTATGGCCGGTCCATGACCCGTTGGTATGATATCATTGGGGCCCTTTGTTGCTCAGTGGAACAGCGGAGGGGGTGGCCCTTCCCGGAACTGAAGCACACGGGGTCTCAGGATCGCCATGTTGGGGCCATTTGCAGACCTAACAACGAGACAATGCTGCTGAAAGAGAGGATTACATACCAATACTTTGCTGATCTTTAAACACCTTGAATAATCTTTAATGTACTTTTCATAATTCATGTAATTATATATATATATTATATACACATATAATACATGTAATTATATATATATATTATACACATATAATATAAATAATATATATATATACACACATCAATGATATTTTATATTATCTCTAATCTTTCTCCTACAAGTACACAACGCTGGCAAACATGTCGCATATTTGTAGTTCGTCAGGTTGCGTCGTTGTGATGGTTCTCATTGCAGTCGTCATCACCAGCCTTCGCAACTGGGTCGCAACTCATGGGCGCACGGTTGGCATTTCTGGATGGACATGAAGCCACAATGAACCAAAACCAAACTCGAAAAAAATCCATATGCCGCCCGCGAAATGCTGATGGTTCTGGATTCCTCAAGTCGTGAACATGGATCCATAAGATGCATGGAATCCATGGAATCTGCGCAGCTCACAGGAACGATTTTGGATTTCATCGGTGCTTTTGGCTCTGCAGCCTGGCGAAGTTGACGTTGAATATGTTGAATCCAGATCTGCGGAATCCGTCAATGCCACAAATAGACTCAATACAAACAATATCAAACAATTACAAAATAGACATAGAATGCCAACTATGCCAACTGACATTTTTTTGCAACCGCAATGATGGACATTCACTGTTTATGTACGTATATATATATATATATTTAACAATCCTGCGAAATCCTGAAACGGGAGTTGCCCTTTCCACTATAGCTAAATGATGTGCAAAACGTGGCTGGAAAACCCATGGGAGTTTCGACTCTTTGGACCAGGATTTTGTGCTTCCGAGGCCTACATCTCCTATGTGGTGCCACCTCTGTGGATCATCGCTCTTCGTAGGAAGTCACAAGGGAGCAGCTTCCGCTGGTTCAGTGCCGAGATGTTGTTCTGTTTGGCCTTCTTGGGCCTGGGTGTCTTGACCAACGAGGCATGGCTGTGGTGACCAGAGTGCTACTGTGGAGACCTAGCAATCTGACCTGGGGATTTCCTGGCCATGTTTGATCAGGAGTTTGCAGCACCCCCAAATAAAGATTCAAAAGTATAATTATCCTGCTAAAATAGCGGTGAATTGCTTTTCTACGTATTCAGGAGTTACTTTGGATGGTTGGAACCATTCTGATTTTGCCGGGTGCAGCCACCTAGGCATCTTCCTCTTCGTCTTCGGCACCTATGCAGCCACGGCTCAGCTGCTGATGGGGGCATGAGACATACTGAAACTGGTCTGTTCAGGTTTCTTAGAGGTTTCAGTGTTTCAAAGCTGAACGTGTGTAAAGACTCACGCCTATCAGTTCTTTAAAATTGTATGAATTGTGTACCGGCATGTACTGGCAGCTTGAGGAGCCCCGTGTTGGATTGGCAGGCTGCTAAAGCGCGCGAAATGTGTGTTGAGAAGATTCATCAGTTTGCTTTGGAAGCCAGAAGTCCAAACCACCGCATTTCTCAAGAATGTCGGATTTTGATTTTCTGAATTGTACAGAGCGGATGATTGGTAGGGTTTGTCTTGTTAGCTTCTCCCCTTGCCGGAGACGATGCATGCTTCAACCTCCAATATTCAGCTGAAAGGACATCTAGTCAGAGACGGATGCGCCTACTTCCAGAACAGCTGGACTATAGCTGGTTGGTGGTTTCAAACGGTTAACGGAAGCTGATGATCCCCACTGACAGAGATTCTTTGCTGCTGGGTCAGCCCCCAACCAGATTACAGCACGTCCCTTGTTCAGGGAGAGTTTAGCCTTCAAAAGCAAGGCAACTGCAGGATCCTTCGGAGTCTCTTCCGGAGTCAGCCAACAGATCAGCGAAAGAGTGTGTTGGTCCTGATTGTTTGGGGTTACAGACAGTTACAGAGTTCATTTTGGGATTCCCGTAATGTGCCAGGAAACGACACCCCCAAACTAAAACAAAGTCACCACTGGTGAGTCCATAGGTTTTTGTGACCTCAAAGTTTTAAGTTCCAGGTCACTGAGGGGTGACATAGCGCGGTGCACCTAGCCCCAGACCCAAAACATGGGATGTGTGGTGTGTGGTTGGTCAATCTTTCCACTACCTTTGGGTCTGGGTGATTCCTCTGTGATCTCTTTGAAAGCTTGTGAGACTCCTCCAGACAGAAAGCAAAACCCAAAACAGAATTCTGACCCGTCTGGCCGTCTGGCCGTCTGGCCGAGTCTGGCCCTCTTTCAGGTTTTCCTGTACTTCTGGGACAACAGAGAAGCTTGGCTATGCCGGCGCCGGCGATGCGATCTGCGATATGCGGTTCTGGCCATCCCAACTGTGAGCATCGCCCACGTGCGATGTGTCTCTCCGAAGGGGTCCGCGAATAGTAGAAAGTTATAGAAAGTGATTCTCCATTACTTTGGGGGTGGTGATGATGATGATGATGATGATCTACTTTTCTGTCCGTTTGGGGACCCCGTCCATGCAGTTTGGGTTGCCACTGACCATTTCGAGGATGGGGCGGACTTCAGCGGCTGGTGGTTTGGAGATCAAGTTGGCGGCACACAGGCACCTTGGTGGCAACAAGACATGACAAGGCTCTCCAACGCGCGAAATAGCAAGCCACCATCTGGGGATGGTTGAGATGCAACTTTTTTTTTGGGTAAAATTGAGAAATATTGAGAATTGAGAATATGGTAAGTTTATTGTATACACCCTGGTGGATTCTTACCCCAATTGGCTCAGCCGCCTCAACCTCCGACAACTTTCCCATTCCAGGTGTGGGCCAGAAACCCTTCGGCCAGCCAAACGCCGCCGCGCACCGGGTGGGCCCACGGCATGGCTTAGCCACTGGCAAATTCTTCAGGATGACCATACCAATCCTTACCCTATGGGGTCCTTTGATGATAACACCAATCCTGAAAAGGGATCAAAGGTTGTCTAGGTATACCTGTTGTTAAAACATGTTAAAACCACTTCAGGCGAGATATTCACTTCCGCCCACTTGTCAAAGCGATTCTTTCCATAACGCCGCAGTCGATGCGTAAAATCCTCTGGTCGCTTGATGGAGAAAGCCATATCCATATCCCTTGATTTTGCATATGGTTTGCTCCGTCCGCAAGCATTATAATATATAATATATACATATATATATATATATAATATATATATATATTATATTTATATAAAACTCCTGTGTAACCACGAACACCCGTGCTTCACCGCTGTGCACCCCTGTGCCACATTTGCAAGACCATCGTTTGGCCTCAAAATTGTGGGACCCCTTGACTTGCTTGAAAGCAGATGAAACGCAGACTTTGGTCCTCTTGAATTCTTGAATCTTCAATATTCATTGTCTACTTTGCCTAATTTTGGAGTTTGCATCTGACAAAACAGCCATCTGCTTGCAAGTAAGAAATTGATTTGCTTTGCAAAATTGGCCAACGATGGTTGTGCGAGGAAACGAGCCTGGCATTTAGGCGGAAGTTATGTCCAGACCGACTCCACAATCCAATCAAAAGGGGACTTGGGTGCGTTTTTATGTACTTCAATGAGGGCACAAATATGCATAAAATATGCATAAATTGTGTCGTGTTAGTAATTTTGGTACTTACTTGTGAGTGAGCAGCGCACTCCTAAGATTTGGACTGTCGTGAGTGTTTCGACAAGTAGAACATAATTTTCAAGATGAACCTGAGACGCGCATATATAAAGGGTTCTGTGGGATTCTTGGAATCTGACAGGAAGCTTTCTTGAAGAAATGGGACACACGTCATCCGACTTTGTGCGTACATTAATTTGGACATGTGTGACTCCGTCAGCGCAGCGCGCATGCAAGCCAGCATTCCAAGTATTTCGAATGGAAGAACCTTTCCCAACAAAGGCGCCTGTAGGTGTAAGTACTTGTCTGTAGATGTCTGTAGCATCCTTTGTTGAAACATTTGAAACTTCCGCCTAGTCGTTGAACCAAATCAGTTTTGGACTCCATCTCACTCTAGTTGACCCCATTTGACCTCATGGTTTTGGATTGTGTTGGCCATGATGCCACAATTCGATCCCACTTTGGTTTGCGGTGTTTACCTGAGCTCTCTAACGCCAAATGGCACTTGTAGGGCCTCTTTCATTTTTGGGTGCCAAGCACCCTGTTTGCAAGACTTTTCATGTTTATCTTGGACTTTTTGAAACTTTTTTTCGTTGCACTTCCCTCCAAATCAGCGCAGTAAGGGGACGCGGTCTACCGCATAGCTCAGCGACAGGTGGAAAGTTCCTTGGGACAGCGCCATGGCAAAGCCAGTCCGCCTCCTAAGAGACACGGAAGGTGGTGCAAGAACTACAATAGGATATAATGTCAACCCCAGATTAATAAACCATGGTTTATGACTATTAGGGGGGTACTCCTCCAATAGTCATTTCATCTAATACTTAAATGGTACCATCCCAATTAAACAGCCTAGAGGTTTATTAATCCGGGGTTGACATTAGATTGGAAGCCAACCCCTACCCCAATATATTTCCCAAGATAGCCCCAAAAGAAATTAATACCTTCTGCGTTTAGATTGTGTCCGTTTACAATCTGGATGATATCATGTGGCTACAATGGGATGTTTGCAGTAGGATCTCCCCCTGAACGCCTTGCTGGTGATAGATTCTGACTTTGTAGGTTGGGGATTGAGGCTCTCCTATCTAGAAAGTTGCAGGCGAAGGTGCAGGATATGCAAGATCAACAAAAACATATTCTGAGATAGAACGAATTTGCTGACCATTTTTTGTTTCTTATGCCTGACCACCTGCTTTCTTTCCAATCAGGTAGGATGGCAGTGGAACATCCGCCTACAGTATACGATTCTTCCGAATTTCTTCCCGTTTGACTGTAGCATAGTCTGTACTCAAAAGTCTTTAAAAGGTCGCACTGCAGCATCAGGGTTTTTTTTCTTTTTAATCTCTGCCCGACACTGAAACGCATGAACATTTTCATACATTTTCAATGTACCCCAAACCTGCATAATTTGCAGTCACCTTCCACCCAAACGGTTCTCGATGTTGGAGCTTTTAAGTGCTTGCAAGCTGCAGATTTCCAGAATCGGAAGACAGATGCCTGGGTCGCAACTTCGTTGCTGCTATAAGCTTCAAAAGTAGAATGTGTATGGTGGCACTAAAAAGTGCAAAAATGCAGAAACGAAAGTAGTACTTCAATCAGCCCGAACCATCCAAAAAAAAAAGCATACAATGGAGCTCACCATTTTTATTCATTCCCTCGAGCGCGTCACGGTAGGGATTACGTGATTAATGCATCATCACGACTCAGCAATACTGGAATGTGAGCTTGAATCAAACGCATGTATTAATTTCAATAATATGAAGCTGCCAGTTCACAATAGGCCTTTCTTCTTTGTAGATCACTTGACATTGAGATTTAAGCAGTAATATTTTCATCAGATTCGCGGCACGTTTGGATGTACACACACACAGTATGTGTATATATTATAATATGTTATATATATAATTATATGTATGTATATATGCACAGTAGATAGATATAGACACATAATATCTATAGACTTCTAGAGAGCCAACAGTTTGTAACTACTCGAAATTGTTCAGCATCCGTTCCGACGCGTCAGCCTTCTTGTGAGCTTGCACCCAACACTCAACGACGCAATCCAAGCGTTTGAACGCCGTGACCAAAAAATTCACGGAATTCTATAGTGGTAGAAGTAATTTCCAATATTTGTGGGCTCGGAAGAATTGAAGTTCGGATTTCTCATCAGTCATCCATTTTCAGTCAAAACGCGGCCTTGAGTTATCTTATCTTTAGATTCTTATCTTTCCGCCTCTGCTGCTAGCTGGCTGTTGCACAGTTTCTTTTTCTGCAGCCTATGTGCAGTTGTTTTGCTTCTGATGTTGGCCTTTAGCCATCAGTGTGGGGCCACTCATCAAGAGGTTTTTTTCCATAAACATCCCAAAGTATGCCATTGTTCAGGCAGAAAAAAAACATCGTTGTTGGGAGGGCTCGGCACGAGCGGAAGTCGCTCACACTGAGGGACTCCTTTTCGTGGAGCCTTACAAGGCGCGGCACGATTTGACGCTGCCTGAAAATGAGGGGATTACATAAGCCCCAATTTATGGCTATTTCATGGGGAAAGTAGGGGAACATGATGATTAAATTGATTAAGCAGTGGATGGAATGGGGTATCCAAATTTCAGACAAACCCAGATGAGGCGGTCATATCAAAACGAGGATGGGACTGATACCAAGCAGGATGATGGTCATGGCGATAGCCAGGTCTGAGAGATAACTGCATTGATGATGCACGTGGAACTGATGGCTATTGTATGGAAAACGAGCAGCAAGAACCACTCGATCCCCTTTGACTTGCCAAACTAGCCACAACCAGGCGCCTGCGTCTCCTGGAACGTCCGGGCACCCATCCTTTGATAGCTGCTTTGTTTTGGATCGGGTCTCGATGAGGAGAGGTCCTAGCGGTAGGACTTGATGGGGTCGTTGCCTAGGTCTCCTGCCACAACACCTCGAGCATGGCGACTCAGACCTGCGGCTCAACTTGCTGGTCATCTGAGTCCGATCTTTTTAAATGCCATACATGCAGCAAGACTTTCTCATCCATCCACCATGTTTTGTTGTGTTTGACTTCAAAGTCATCCAACTCCGTCCAAGCCCCCCAGGCCACTGGGACACCCGCCGGGGCACCCACACCCGCCGGTACTGTGGGCGCGGCCGCCGCCGGCAACAGCGCAGTAGCCGCGAGGTGCAGTGAAATGGATGTGTGAGATGCCGGGAAATCACAATTTTGACTGGTAAATCTGAACTATAAATGGATGTGAATGGGGGATTGGGAATAAATATCGTGGTGA